CAAACTTTTCTCCCACTGGCCAGAAGAAAGTCAGAGCCTACATGATGAAAACTTAGAGGCACGTCCCTAAATTCTGAATGCCTCCCTGTGGGCAGCATGCTTTGGAGATTACATTTCAGAATCAAGGTGCTCAAGGAATTTCAGTGCCATTGAGTCAAAGTTAGTAGGAGGAGAGAGACAAGCTGGCCCATGAGCCAAGTAACCTTAGAGCATGACTATTTCTGCACTGTAAACCCTACAGGTAAAATCTAATCACTGCTTCTGTTGAAGGAGCTATAAATAGAGGAGGCTATTAATTTCCATTGCTTTTGCTTTAGGTTCTTGTTTCCAAGGACCAGAAACTATTGTCATTGTGCTTGGGCCTTTCTTGGGTACAAAACCGCCCTGAAATGATTTCCGATGCCTACCCAACATTCCCTTTATATCATGTGTGTTCGCATGAGAGCTGTCTTACCTGTCCATGATTCTTTTTCTTCCCTTCACTCCCCTACACCAGCACACAATCCTATGACTTACCATTTGAGGCTTTGTTCCAAGAGTTTTCTTTAGAAGCTAGTTATATTTGGCTAAGGCAGGTGTACAAATTCCAAGGCACCTTGACTGGCTGACTGAACATTAGAGGTCACTCTATTAGCCACAGGAACATATTAATGTACTTTTCCAACTTACTTCCGCAGGACTAATGTTTATAATTTCTTCTAATGACAGGTGAACCATATATCTGCCCAAAATCCATAAGTTTTCTGCACTGACCCATGAAACAGAGTCACCTACAAAAAATAATAAATATTTTTAAGCCTTTACAGTGGCGCATGATGTGTCCAAAGTATCTTTGATGTCAGGACCTCCTTCTTGTATTCATTAATCCAGAATGTGTTCAACAATCATTTATTGAGAGCCTCCTATGTAAGACAGAGACAATCACAGATACCCACCACAGTGTGGTTCCTGGACCAGCAACATTAGCATCACTTAGGAACTTGTTTAGAAATGCAGATTCATTTTTAATACTTGGGAACCACAAAAAAATAGTCTTATTTTTAGTTCAATTCATTCCTGAGTAACAATCTGGCAATGTAAGATATGTTTACTGCCTCTTTGATTACCATCAGTAACCATCATTATCATCTTTATTGTCCTTGTGTCTTCCTGTACGTGAAGCAAACAGAATTACTCATCATTCTCCATCTGTACCCCAAGGGGGTCTCTCCTTGAAATCTCCAGTAGAGGGAGGTAGAGAGAGATTTGACTACTGCCAGAAGAGGATGGCAGAGGTAGAGACTGGAAGTGGTAACAGCCACGAGCGAAGAAATGGTGGCACCTCCCGAAGCTGGAAGAGAGACAACAAACTCCTTTGGAAGGAATACAGCTCTGCCAACGGCTTCATTTTGGCTCAGCTACTCTTATTTCAGACTTCTAGCCTCCAGAAATGTAAATCGATTTCTGTTGGTTTAAGCCACTTTGTTTTCGTTGTTAAGTGCCATCGAGTCAGTTCCGGCCCATAGCGACCCTGTGTAGGGTTTCCGAGGAGAGCTGGTGAGCTTGAACCGACCTTGCAGTTCAAACGGCTTTGCAGTCTGGCACATTAACCCACAGTGCCACCCCAGGACTCCTTTAAGCCACTGAGTTTGTAGTAATTGGTGGGGCCAGGGGAGACTCCAAGAACAGACATTTAGATTATGCATTCTGTTACTAACTCTATTCTGAGTCACTAAATTTACCAAGAATCAAGTTGAGTTCCTCATTTTTTAAATTTAATGCAAGGGGACTTAAAAAAGTTTGTGGAAAAATGGGATGAAAAGATAATGAGTGGCTTGGCTTACAAGTGTTCAAGAGGGAGTTTAGTTTCAGAGCAAGCGGGGGAGGTAGAATCCCCACTGAATAGTTTTCATCTTGTTTAGATGAGAAGGGAGATGGGAATAGGATTCATTTGATCCAATAGTGAGTAATTGTTATCATGGCTAATTGTAATCATCACAACTGTAAAAGTAGAAGTTGTGTAACATTAAGGGGGGAGTAGTTAATCTTATAGTCCAGGAACAAAGGACCGTATGACCATAAAGAGAGAAGACCATGATTGTAACGTGGGACCCTCACCAGAGAAGCAGCAGTACAAGAGATGGAGACAGAGGTGATGGCATGGAGAGATAGAGCAGTTGAGGGCTCTAGACTCATGGAAGGAGAAAGGCTGTGTGCTGGTGGGCAGAAGGCTAAC